ATTAACAATTGGAGTTAAAAAAAGAAACCATGGAATCAATTTATAGACCAAAATGTATTCTAAACTTTTGACTCATCAAAGTAGCCACCTTTAGCACATAAACAGCTGAACACTCTCGTGGCATACTTTCTACAATAGAAATCAAATATTCTTCAGAAAGCTCTTCCCATATCTGTTGCAGAAGTTCCCATAAATGTGTGGCACTTGTAGGTTGCTTTGCTTTCACTCTTCTGTCCATTTCATCCCAAACCAGCTCGATGGGGTTTAAGTCTGGAGACTGTTCTCGCCGCTCCATGTTTACAAGCTTACCATCTTGTTCTTTATTTCCCGAGGTAGTCCTGGCATAGCTTGGACTTATGTTTTGGGTCATTATCTTGCTGTAGGATGAACCTCTGCAACTAGACGCATGCCAGAGTGTACTGCATGGTGCTGGAGAATGCTACGGTAGATGTTTTGGTTCAGCGGGCCTCTCACTCTGTACATGTCACTGACCCTGGATCCAGTAAAACAGCCCCAGACCATCACACTTCTTCCTCCATGTTTGACAGTTGATGCCACACACTGTGGAACCATCCTTTCACCTACTTGATGGCGTACAAAGATTGTGCGTGATGAACGGAAGATTTCAAATTTGGATTAATCAGTCCATAATACCTTCTTCCAGTCTTCAGTGGGCCAATGGCGGTGTTTCATGGCCCAGGCAAGCCTCTTTCTCTCATTCTGATGACTTAGCTGTGGCTTTCTTGCTGCAACTCTTCCTGTCAAACCTGCAGCTCTAAGTCTTCTCTTCACAGTTGAAACTGAGACTTGCTTACTACGACCACCATTACGCTGTGCTTGAAGCTGTTGTCATGTGAGCCGCCTGTCACGCAAGCTGTTAACTCTCAGAATGCAGTTGTGGCTTTGGGTCTGCCAGACCTCTTCCTGTCAGTTTGCCCCAGTTTTTGAGTGCCTTTTGATGGTGAAGGAAACTGTACTCACTGACACCTTGACTTTGCAATTTCTCTGTAGGAAAGACCTACATTTTTAAGCGTTTTAATGGTCTGTCTCTCTTCCATTGTTAAGTGCCTTTTTCTCGCCATTTTTGTGGCAACACACTATTATCTGCAGTACAATACTTTTCAACTGATGCTCACGAGGGTATGGTACCACAGTATGTTCCAACACTGGTTTTATGCAGACAGAGGGCAGATGGTTGTAAGTAATCTAGAAAAGTTGGTACACTTGTGGGAATTATTAGCACCAACTTTCAAGGCTTGATCAACCTCCTTTGCTGCAGAACAGCTGTGTTCCCTGAAAAAGGCCCTTTTGCATAATTATGAAATGTACATTATTTTTCAGTTTTGAGTAGCCTTAACTTATTTTTTACCCTCTGGCAGTTCACCACTTAACTTTGTTCCATTTTGAGCTATTCATTGGACTTGAAAGACTTAAACTGCAATAAATAACTGGAAAAATTGGGGCGTTCTAAATCTTTTGACCCGTAGTGTATATATATTTTAAAACCATACATAACGGCAGTTGTGGACAAATCAGATCACTGAACTTACAGTAAAACACCTAGTTTGGTTGGTTTTCTAATAATTGAATGAACCAGAATCTCATCCTAGATGTAAAAACAGTTGGCTTTGATCAGACGACGTGCAGAACTGGTGTTATTTAAAGACGATGTATTGTTATTTAAAGAGGACTTAACAATGTCTGATGATGTTTTTGTGTCCTCCGTCCAACTGGTGATCAATGCTCTGCAGAGAGTTGAAGTGGTGAGGCTAGTTTTCTTAATGAGGAACGAGTTACTCTGTATCGATAATAAAAAAGAAACTTTTAAAGGACTCGTTTTTGTTACTTCAGGCTGAAAGTCTTTTACAGTGCTGCACTTCAAAAATAGTTTTGAGTGTTATTAGGAATTAATTCATGCAAGACTTGCATAATAAAGGTTAAAGGCACTGCCTGAAGTAGTTCCTTGGGATTAAAGAGGGCCTGTGACATAAATGAGCACTGCATCTGAGCACAGGCTCCAGTCTCTGTAATCTTTAGGAGTTTGTTGTTCAGTTTAGGAGTCGTATGCTCAGCTGTTGTACAGGAAAAAAGAAGTGAACCCTTCACTTTTTAAGATAATTCTATGTTAAATGTATGCACAGAAATCCCTTAGGCAAGCAAGCATCTTTTTGCATATCTTAACTCAAACTGTGCCACAGATGGAAAGTTGTCACTTATGGATTTTTACAACACATTGGCTCAATAATGTAAGCTCCTGTCATTACGTGTGCTGTGTGTGTTTGCTGATATGTCCTGCTGCTTTAAAACGTTCTTTTGTTTAATCCACCTTTCTGTGGGGTGATAATATTTTTCCTTCAAAGGGACTGTTGCGTTCAGAGAAAACGGGCTGCTCTTGTTCTGCATAAACTGGTGTAGCTCCCATGCGCTGGTATGCGTCTACTCTTTTGGTTCATTCCATTTATGGGCAAAATGATAACATTTCCTAAATTGGAGGGTGTTTTGAATTGTATGGAGACATAATGATGGGTGTGTTTATGGGTTGTTTACCTGATATGTAACCCCATACCATCAATTATTGTGGATATTAAATTATTGTTGACCTTAAAGGTATCATAGGACTTGAACATAACATAATAAAAATCACTAGCGTACTTTATACGTCACCGTGCAAGTGCTGCTGAGGACTGATCTAAACAGCATTCGCTAATTGGCAAAAAACAAAATTCAATTATATTAATTGTACATATGTATATATATATATATATATATATAAGTACTTTTTTCCTACGGTAATTATTTGTGTTACTACGTGAAAAGCCTTTTTTGTCGTTCGGGTAGGCATGCTGTTTGGCCGAGACGTTCAGCTGGGCCCCTTCGTTTACACCGCTGCCATGGATCAAATTTCCATGCTACCCTCTATCTGCTCCACTCTGTGAAAATCTGTGAAAATGTCCACATGAATACTGCCACCACTTTACTTTAGCCTGGCCTGTTTTGTTTCCAGCTTGCAGGATTTGGAAAAGAGATACAAAACGACTGGCGGTTGGTTCCTTCTCGTTTGAACATCTTTAGGAGATGAAACTACGACTTTGTGACTTTGTGTGGGAGTGACTCAGACCCATAGACAACCACTCAAAATGCTCGCTTGTTTGTCTAGGGATATCTCCCATAACGCATTGCAAAGTTATGTCACAATCTACTTTTAGCTACTGATTTTTTTATAGTCAGTTACTGCTTTTTAAAATGCCATTTCTTTATTTCTTTGATTTTATTTTGAAGCCATACTTTTTAAAAACAATTTAACCTCTTATTTGTTTTTCTAGTATTTTAACCCTTTAAATGTTTCATTTTGCTTAAATTCTTTATGTTTTAGACACATCTGACAAGAAATAAAAATATATAGGTTTCACTTTACTCTGAGGCTTCCTTTATAAATGCTTTACAAATGTTATGTTAATTATTCCTTTTCAGAATGAATGGTTAATTGTTCTATACTTTTAAAAATTTTGGACATTTGAGGCAGGCGCACCTTATGTTTAGTAAAGCCAATTTTAGGAAAATCACTTTTTTAAACAATTTTCATGCCTATGTATTTTGTTCTAGCATATAGAGTTTAAATACTCTACTAATCATGTCAATTTAATACATGTTCAGATGTTCACCAAAGTTGGGCTGTCACCGCTTTAGTGTAACCAGTCCAAAGTGATGTTTTTTCTTTAATCTTATTGTTTTCAGTTAGTTGTTGACTGGTGTGAACGAGTTAAAAACCCAAAAGTAATCATTCAGTGTTGTCTATATGGATTATTTAAGTTGTTAGAGTACCATTTTTTTACTTCCACTATTTGATTTTGGTCATTAACTATGGAAGCTCACAGGCCAAACCTTCACAAACAATTAATACAGACTGGAATGATTATTTTTTTAAAGGTTAAAGGCAAACTAAAATCTTCCAACTGGTTGGGGTCTTATTGGGAGTGTAGAGGATGGATTAAATGACAAACCCACTGGCTCCTCTGACTCACTCACTGACTTTTTCAGTTTTTAGATTTTTATCTGATGTGATTTAGTGTCATGTTTCATTCATGCGCAACAATAGAGACCGAAGAATCAACATCATTCTTTATTCATACGTTTAAGGAAGGAATTTAAAGTAGGAGGGGAAATGAACGCACATTTATCACAGAAACATTCCTGATTCATAAGATCATTTAAAACTAGAGACCTCACAATCAACTCTTTCTGACTTAATTAATCTCAGTCACTCAGTAAGCTTCATTATCTTTCCTGCTTATTCTTTTGTAGTCATTATTAGCATATCCCACCATTTTCTCTGAAATTGAGACTTATTTTTGTGTTTCCTTGAGCTTTTCTTCAATTTATGTCTTGCTTCTTTCTCATTCCTTATCATTTATTCTGCCTCTTACGGTTTCCAGTCCCACACACTTTTTCCACTTTGTTTTCTAACTTTTTGTGTTCCTCATCAGCCAGTCATCCAAAACCTTCTCGCTCCCAAGGAATTTCCATAAGGTCTTGCTTTCTCTTCATGCACACTCCAATTGGATTTCTTTTATGCTATTTTACATTCAGCAATATAATTTGATTGTATCACTACATAAAAGAAAAAGGCAGCCAGTAAGACCAAGAGAACAATAAAGGTTTGTGTGAAGCCTTATTGAAGGTGAGAAAACCAAATCTGAGGTGTAATCTAAATTTGTTGATGCGTGCACACATGCAGCCTGCAGAGGCACAAGCAGGTACAGCCCAGCTCCGAGTGAGGACTAAAGGCGATTATGGTTTGGTTTTCATAGCTCATAAACAAGCTGGCTGTAGAAATATGACCTTAATAAATCGGTATGGGCATGCTGTATGTTAGTTTTGCTGTTCTCAGCAGAGCAGGATCAAAATCTCATCTTATTTGTTCTGGTCAATTAAAACGTATCCCACTTGACACCAAATCAATGGATCTCTATTTTAATTATATCTTCTTTTTATTTAAACAGGAAGTGCTAGTACACCTGTGATGTTTAATGAGAATGGAGATGCTCCAGGAAGATATGACATCTTCCAGTACCAGATCACCAACAGATCCGCCGCTGAGTACAGAGTCATCGGCTCCTGGACAAATAAACTACATCTCAAAGTAAGATTTTTACACACACACACACACACACACACACACGCGCACACACACACACACACACACACACACACACACACACACACACACACACACACACACACTGTGCATTTGCTGGAAAAAAGCCTGACAAAAGCACTAAATGAATTATTAGTCAGATATTCAGTCAATGAGGTGAATGTAAAATACTATCTGATGAATGATTGTGCATGCTGCATCATTACAAGATTCCTCTATTTGCTGAGTCACATTTACAAATGATTACTAATAATAAGAAATGAATGACAACACACAAATGAGATGAAATGAGAAGCATTCACGTCAAACTTGTCAGCGAGGTGAATGTTGACATAACTCGTCACCACATCGGCACCTTGTTTCTCAGCTGCTGCAGATCAACGGGGAACTTTTTTCACACAACTGAATTGAAAAACTTTCAATATGGTCTTCTGGTGACCTAGAATCTGGTTATTGCCGAAGCAAAATAATTTAGCTTTGCATGTCGGTCTAGGCATGCTCTACTGGAACCTCCGCAAGCCCGGCCAGTATTGTGGCTGACCAGACACAGCGTGTTTATGTAGAAAAACAATTCATTATTTTTCCATCTTACAGTTCTTTTTAAAACACAGAAAAAGTTTATTTACCTGCAACATTTCTTTAATTACCTGCAACGTTTCATTTGCGGCTGCAAACATCTTCAGGCTGACGCCGATGGTGGCGTCACTTCTTTCGTTTATCCGCGGGCAGCAGAGGATGTTGTCGCCCTCTGCTGCCCGCTTTCCCCTCTCCGATGATGCAGTCCCATGTAGGATCCAACGAGTAAACTTCTTCGTCCCTGTTCATGGTCCCACATCCACGTCTCCTTATCTCGATAGCTTCTTTTATCCATCTTTAGTATTTCTGTTGTTCGGTGTTTACGATCCTTGTGTTGTCCCAGTCCATTATATGGTTTTCTCTTAAGCAGTGATCTGTTACGGCTGACTTCTTTAATGTGTTTTCTGCTTCTTGTTTTGCTGCTCTTGTGTGTAAGAAAGATTACAATAGAAGATAACAACATACTCGTCTCACATGACGTCACATCCCGGTTCACAAAAACACCAACCCAACAAACATAGGCATAATAGTTAACAGAATCAGACAGGACAAAACTTTACACAAAAGAACAAACCTCACAGCAGATGACATAGCACTACTGATAGGACTGGTAGCTAACTCTGCTTCACATACGATGACACAATATACAAACAACTGGAAGGCTTTGCCATGGGTAACCCGTTATCAGCCAGCCTGCGCGAGTTTTTCATGGAAGACTTAGAACAAAATGCCATAGCCACTGCCCCCCCCAACTGCAAAATAAATCTAAAATATGGAAACGCTACGTAGGTGACATACTGGAAATCATACCAAAAGGACAAACACAAACACAACACTTGAATGACATTGACGACACAGGCAACATAAAGTTCACATATGAGTCAGAAACAGAAGGCCATATAGCATTTATGTACATGAAAATGACCAGGCAGACCAACGGGACCCTAAACATAAACACATATAGGAAACCAACACACACAGACCAATATTTATTATGGAAATAAGAACACCCTACCATACACAAAATGTCAGTAACAGAACATTATATCACTGAGCAAACAGGTAACAGAAGAAAGAGTCCATAAACAAGAGGACAAACAACGCGCTTTAAAGACCTGTCGATACCCGACATGGGCAATAAACAAAGGAAAACAACAAACAACAACAGAAAGAAAAAACAACCAAAGCAAAGAACCAGCAACCCAAAAAGACAAGAACAAAAACCAGTGATAACCCTACCATACATCAAAGGCATAACAGAAAAAATAAGAGCAACAATGAAAAAACACAACATAAACACACCAACAAAACCATACACAACAGTTAGAAACAGACTAGTTCGCCCAAAAGACAAGATATCAGCTGGACATAAGTATGGAGTCTTTTACAAAATCCCATGCAAACTCTGCAATAAAACACACAGGAGAAACCGGACGCCAACTCAACACACGAACAATAGAACACAGAAAGGAGTGCGAGAAAGAAACAAGTCGAAAACACACAAGAGCAGCAAAACAAGAAGCAGAAAGCACAATAAAGAAGTCAGCCATAACAGATCATAATGGACTGGGACAAAACAAGGATCGTAAACACCGAACAACAAAAATACAAAAGATGGATAAAAGAAGCAATCGAGATAAGGAGACGGGGATGTGGGACCATGAACAGGGACGATGGAGTTTACACGTTGGATCACACATGGGACTGCATCATCAGAGAGGGGAGAGCGGGCAGCAGAGGGCGACAACGTCCTCTGCTGCCCACAGATTAACGAAGGAAGTGACGCCACCATCGGCGTCAGCCTGAAGATGTTTGCAGCCGCAAACGAAACGTTGCAGGTAAATAAACCTTTTATGTGTTTTAAAAAGAACTGAAAGAAGGAATTTGAAACTAAATTCCACACAAAATTAATTCTTTTATGTTGCTTTATGTGCTTTGTAGTTAATCTGTAGCCGAGCAATCACAGCACACTGTTGGTTTGGTGGACCAATCACAGTGCTCTATCAGCCAGGTGGGCGGGATGTTACTGCAAACCAAGACGGAGCCTAAGTCACGCCCACCTACTTCCGCACCACAGGTCCCTGGAAGAATGAACAAATGAATGCAAGTCAATGGGGCTAAAAACGCTATTTTCTAATTCCGCTTGTTTTGTGCCATGGATTTCACATATGACGTCCGTGAATGTTAAAGACGCATTTTGATACCAAGCACACACTTATTTTCGAACAGGGGGAAACGATATTTTAGGTTTTGTGTGAAAATAAGTTCAGGACTACAAATGCGCTTCACGAAAGTGACGTCATCGAACCAGACATGGAGAAAACTGAGGGAAAAGGGCTGCGAGTTCAGCAAACTTCCCACAGGAGGAAATAACCATCATAAATCTGGTCATTTGGTAAGTAGCAGCTTGAAAGACAACCGTAGATCCCGCCCCATGACTGAGAGACATTTTTGGATTGTGGCCAGACCATCTATTCACATATATAGGATGGCTTGTCAGGCTAGTCTTTTTTCCTGTCACACCTGCTACCAAATAAGCAGCTATTTAAAAGGTTTGCCTGTTTCTAGATAAAAATAATCAGTGGCAAATGTATTTGTTGTGTACTTGTTTTTTGCAACACCCAAACCACCACAATACAAATGTATTGTTGCAGCCCTATATAGCTGCTTTGTTTACCGCGATCCTCCAAACCCAACACACCTTCTTGGGGACATTTGTTCAGCTCATTTCAGCATATGCATGGTTGCTTTCAGGCCTCTGCAGAGATGCTCTCCAGAGTCCAGGTCTCCAGCTGAGTCCCCCCCAATATGTTCTGTAGTGTTTACATCTGTAGTGTACAGCATTAACTTATATAAACTCCAGATTGAATGCCCAAACAAGCTGAAATCTCTGTTTCAGGTTCTTAGTCACAGACTGAACACTCACACACAAGTGTGCACATAAACTCCTTTGGCACGCTGGAGTGCTGTGTTATAAATCCACCCAGGACTTCATTAGAAAAGCCAGATGACAGATGAGAAGACTAATAGACACAAAATGCTCCTCGGCTGATGGACGTGCCGGCAGACTGAGAGTGAAGGAGAGTCTGGCGCTGTCCATGCAGTCAGGACACACACGATTGGACACTTTGATGGCTGAAAAATCAACAGATGTCTGTTTTTTTTATTTTATTCGTTTGTTGATAATCCAGTTAGGCTTAAAGGCACAAGGGTTGTACACATGATCACACTAGCTTCTGAGCAAGTGCATGTGGAACACGGTTGACTTGTTTCAGGTTTAGCATATTTATGCTAAATCTTGTTAGCCTAGAAATCTAGACTGACAGTAGCAGATGATGTCAGTCTAGCCACGCTCCAGTGTAGCCTCCGCAGTAGGGTTGGGCGATGGGATGAATGAATCGACCATCGGTGATGGGCAGAGCTGTTACGGTTTTTTATAGGTGATTTGTTTATTTATTTATTTGTTTGTTATTGACAAATATTGTACACGTTACGCACAGAGAACATCGCGGAGGTAACAATCGAGAAAAGATCTCCATCAGTACATCTGAGCCTTTTCTCACTTCCTCCGCCTCTGGCTGCTGACAGTGCACGCGCAAGCGGCATGCTGAGGAGAGAGCGTCTGTGACGCACTCGACATCGTGCACTACAGCGCGGCGTTGAGTGGAAAGTGGAAACCCTTCTATCTTTCAGAGTCTGGAAGACTTCTGGTTATTTCATTTGGAGAAATGCTTCCTGATTTAAAACTTTGGCTGAAGTAGCGCTCGACATTATTCAGCACCTGCTTTGAGTTTCAGCAGAGCGCAGATCTATCCAGAACATTATTTAAACAGCCATGACTCAGTCTGAGGCAAAAGTCTAGAACTGATTACACACAAGCTGCAGGTTCAGGCTTAGACGGCCCGGTGCAGGAGGAATGTGCGTTTGAGCCGCAGCAGATGAAATGCTCCTAATTTAAGTGAAATCGATTAATTGCATTGTTCACGTTACTGGGTGATTCTGATCAGCTTGATTGGACTAAATATTAATTATATTTAACGAATGATTATTCATTATTTTAAAAATGAAAGTAGGGCTGTGCAGTTGCACAGTGGTTAGAGCTGTTGCCTTGTAGCAAGAAGGTCCGGGGTTCGCTTCCCGCGCGCGACCCTGCGTGGACAAAGCGGGTTCAGAAAATGGATGGATGGATTAAAGATGAAAGTGACGGGGATAAATGGATCATGTGACCTCTGACAGCGAGCTGCCTCCTCAGAGTGTGTCCAAACGCAGCAGTGATTTATTCCATCCCCTACTTATAAAAGAAAGAACACACATTTTGTTTAAATAAAGTACCACAACAGTGGGCACCACAGGGAAACGAAGACAAGGCTTCTTTTTAACATTTTAACTGTGTTTAATATGGGCCGTTT